GGACGTTGCGAAAGAGCCACTTTGCGCGAGAATTTACAGGTAAAATCCCGCAGACCAAGACCGTGGACCACACTTTGTGCGAGCCTGCGCAGTCGAAATGCACTTGGACATTTCACAGGGGCCTTTGCACTTACCGTAAGAACCCCTCAGTGAACCCGTTGGTCAACGTCAGATTGTGAAACTTCCCGGTCGGATTGTGAAACTTCCCAGATGGATTGTGCAACTTGGATTGCGAAACTTGCCACTCGGATTGTGAAACTGGCCGCGCGGATTGTGAAACTTGTATTGTGAAACTTGAAATTCGGATTATAAAACTATAAAGTAGGATTGTGAAACTCTAAAAGCGGATTGTGAGACTCTGGGGTCAGATTGTGAAACTGGTATTGTGAAACTCTGAAGATGGATTGTGAAACTCGGGGGACGGATTGTGAAACTTGCGAAACTCTGAAGAAAAATTGTGAAACTCTGGGGAGAGATTGTGAAACTGGTATTGTGACAGTCTGCAGAGAGATGGTGAAACTTTAGGTGGAAATTGTTTCAGGGGTACTGCGAAACTCTGCAGACAGATCAGGAAACTGTGAAACTCCAAGTTTCATAATCAAAGCCTCAAATCTCAGAATGCGACGTCCAAGTTTCACAATCTGACATTTGAAAATCATTACAAATCTTGAAACTCACTCCCCTGTTGCAGCAGCAGTCTAGCACCTTTTTTCGATCGGCCACGTCCGAACTCATTTCCACAGCGTCAAGACGCATTGCATCTTAGACTCCATAGTCGTCTTAGCCTTGTGGAGGCTCCAAGTCAGTTTGAAGTTCCATGGGGGTGGGAATTTTGATATCATTTTAACCTTGTGGACACTCCAAGTCAGTTTGAAGTTCCACGGGGGTGGAAATTTGACATCATCTTAACCTTGTGGACACTCAAAGTCAGTTTGAAATTCCATGGGGGTGAGTTTGATATCATCTTAACCTTGTGGACACTCCAAGTCAGTTTGAAGTTCCATGGGAGTGGGAATCTTGATAACGCCTTGCTCTTGTGAACTGCATGTGTCATTTTCAAGTTCTATGGGCCCTGGAATTGTTTGGAGGAAGTGTAGCTGCAGAGTTGCGCAATCCGGCCAGCGTAGTGGCACAAGCAGAGTTGCACAATCCTGGGAGTTGTGCAATCTGTCAAAAGCACTTGCGCAAGCAGAGTTGCGCAATCCTACGAGTTGCACAAGCAGAGTTGCGCAATCCTGGAAATTGTGCAAGCAGAGTTGCGCAATCCTGGGAGTTGCGCAAGTCAAGTTTCGCCATCCTAGCTGCGCAATCCGACCAAAGAGTTGCACAATCCTAGTTGCGCAATCCGGAGAAGTTGCTGAATCGGACTTTATTCGAACCAGTTGACCAAGTAAGGTGTTTCGAAAGCTCGGCTGATTGAATTTTCACATGATTTCACATAATTAGCAAAGGGGCGGTGAATTGCAGGAGGACAAGCTCCCTGCGCAAATTTCGGCAGATTGTGGGCATTGGGTCACGCCAAAGCCAATCTCCAAAAAGGTATAGCAAGCATTCTCTCTCATTTCGAGTTGCGAAAGGGCCACTGGTGCCAGTTCAAAAGCCGCAGCTTTGATATCTTTGGTCAACCTTTACTCTTGCACTCATCCTGGGACGCAAAAAGAATGCAAGAAAAATACATCATCAGGGTAGGACTGTAGGACTCTCGGACCCACATGGCTGGCACTTTGCTTTGTTGAGAGTACGAACAGGAACAACCGAGCCAAAACCATCCAGGCCCAGCTATCAACTTCCAAGACTCATCACACCGTGTAGAGAACGGTGACGAAAGCGCGATCGGAGGCCAACTCAATCTGACAGGCGGTCCGAGTCAGCATCGTTTGGGTAGTTTGTATATCAAGCATATCAGGTAGCAGTTCAATTTTATCATAACTTTGAATTATAGCTATATATCTATTTTCTACTGGGAATGTGTGATGCTTGGGGATAGTTTACCCTGGATATCCTTATAGATCTTATAGATGACCTTGAGGTCATCGACATTCTTGAGCTTCTTTGATTGTTCCTTCTTTGCAGTCCCACCTAGATCCATCCACTGGCTCTCACATTTGCATTGTTTCCAAGCATAAGAGTTGGGATCCTTGCGTTTTGGGAGCACGGTCCGACGGTAAAGCCAAACAGGAGCAGCATAGCTGCTTTTAATTTCAATGGGATGCAATGTTCGTCTCCGTCAAGCTGAACAAACCAAGCAAAAATGTGGCGTCGTTTTTTCCTTGTCTTTGATAGTTTTTGCTTTGATCTTCTCGTTCTTCGTTTTCTTTTTCCCGCCCTTTCAAAAACAAGGAAATATAAACCGATACTACGGACAGAACAACCACCTGATTAAACATCCCCCTATTTCATGTTGCTTCATCCATAGATTGTTGTTTCAATACGTCTCTTCATAGATTTGGCCACCTGATTCTATGCGCGCCGTTCGTCAAAAATGACATTCAGCATGAGGCTTGAGGCCCAAAGCAAATCTCAACTGACCAGCCGTTAAGAGAAATAGCATGCAAGCGCTTTTGCTAGAAATCAGAAAAACAAGCGAAGACCAAGAATTGAGTCTTAAAGAGAGATTTTAGGCAAGTGCTTTACGAGAAACCATCGAAAACGACAAATCATCAAGAATCGCTCGGGAGCAGAAAGGAATGCTGGGAACAATACTTCCTCAGACAGCAATGATCTTACTGCACAATACTGTGCACACATTGGATTTCACAGGTAAGATCCAAATACGATCCATAAATGAGCCACGGATGCATAGATGATCCGAAGGGGTTGCGGCGCACCATGGCGCACCTGGAATAGAGACACTCCTGAAGCAGCACCGATGTCACGCAGTATTTCCTGATGGAAAGCCGACCGAAGCAAGGAGAACCTCACCACAACAAATGCCAAGACCGTAATGATCTTATAAGATCCATGCGCCAGCATTCAGATCATTCAGCATGTCAAAGCTTGAACAAAACCGACCCTAGAAATCTTGAGCGCTCACTCAACACAGTGCCTTAGCTTCATCGACTCGGAATTCATGGCAGTGATTCAATACGAGAACCTCTGCTGTGAGTTTTCGAGTCCTCTGAGCTTCAATTGCGTTGATCCTATCTTCAGCGATTTAAAACAACCCGCCTTGAAAGGTTGTGCTCCCTGATTTTGCAAGTCTATATGTCGGAAATTTGGCCTATGAAACCACAAACCACCCTTAAACCATAAGAAAACGTGAACAAACATGTTGATTTTGTATGGACCCGCATGTTGTACTGCTTTTGGTGTTCTGAAGCTGTTGTCCCCCACAATTGCGCTGTTCCCCATCAAAAATGCCATTGGCATTTTAAGACCCTGCCACAGGGATTTCAACTCGAAATCAAACTGCTGCATCTCCATAATCGCCATGTATGAAATTGGCTTACAGTACATGGAGTATATGGAAATTTTATCTACAGTGCTCGCTGCTTTCAAGGCAACTTCTTTGAGTTGCAAGGCTGAAGCCACAAACTCACAAAGCGCTGCAAGCGTTCCTTCAACACTGAGCACTTGGCCTATCAAGATCTTGTATGAAATTGTTTCCTTTGGCCCCCGCGTTTTCCACGAGTCCCTGTGAAACAACAGCTTTGGACTTTGGGCTGTTCTTGTTCTTGTTTTCCTTCTTCTTGGGCTGCCTTCGATTTGAACATTTAGCACTTTGACTTTGACTCTATAATTTACTATAGAATAATTTCCTATAGAATAATATTCTAACATATTACAGTAACAATCTCTCTCATACCGCCTCATACCTAACGTACCCAACGGCTTTGCAGCTGTTAGGGGGGCTGTTTCTTCTTCGCACTGGTGCTCCTTCTGTCCTTCAGCTTTCTACTCCAAACATCTCCAAACCAAGGGCATTGATATGGTATTGATCAGCACTTCAAGCCCTTTACTCTGTGATGTCCAACATCCCCTCACTTGAGAGCAGGCGGAGGCGGACGAAAGGTAGTGTAGTGGGAGAGGAGTGGTGTCAAAATGCTGCGCCTCTAAGATGATACACCAAAAACGTTTTTGCGCAGTCTAAGATGATTTTATCCAGAGCATGACTGCATGATACGGTGTCTTGTGCAGCGTGAAATGATGCACGAAAAGGGGTTTATTAAAAACCCCTTTTTAAGACCCCTTGCAGCAACTGTTATTGAGGCTGAAGCAAACCAATTATGCTGGACTACAGGGACATCTCCCTCATGGAGAGTGTGCCTCTACTGTGGCGGACCGTGACCGCGTCACCCGTGGGAATTGAACCCATGACCATTTTGGAGGGGGGGCCCCCTTATAATTGATATCTAATACATAACGTGGAGAATTCTACGTTTTCCACGGGCTGGCCCCCCAATACCCCCTATGATTGTGTTGAAGCACGGAGAACTCAGGTAGCTGACGCTACCTTTCGTGATAAATCGTAAAGATGTCGTCCAGATCAGGTCCAAATCATTTCCATTCTTCCCCATCTATGGTCAGCAAACTCACAGCCCTCAAAGTCTTGAGATCGTTTCGGCACCAAACAGAAAAGGATACTGCAGCAGTTTCCGATTCCAAATACAGCGGTCAAGTTCCCGTTTTATCTCTGCAGCATGGTGATGTCTTAGCTTTGCCCTTCCACCAACTTTGAAGGGGAGACTCACAGAGACTGTTGACATTGTGAAACTTTGAGACATGTACTATGTGCAAGCCCATCGATGGTGTTTCATCCGATGGATATAGGCATTCGTCCGGTCAAATTTCAGATGCGCATCTTCTAAGCACGACTCTCCCAACGTAAGCTCTCCAAGAAGGTAGTAACCTTCGGCATGTTTGGGCCACCTTCATTAAATTCTGACCGGGCTTGCCCCAACAAGTGCTAGAAGCCTTGATCAGGAAAGTTGCTCTACACCAACATGTAACATGCCATGCTTCACATAACATACTTCATCATACTTCGACTTCTATCAACTTCTATCAACTTCTATCAACTTCTATCAGCTTCTATCAGCTTCTATCAACTTCTCAGCTCAGCTTTGGCTCAGCTTTGCTCGCCATCTCCAAAGCTCGTGAAGCCTGTCCAGCTTTGCGTGAAGACTGGAGACTCGCTGCTTCCCTCACTGTCGGGTGCTCGGCTGATCTGTCGGCTCACTAGCTTGACATCTCCAGCAATATGCCGCTCGATCAATTGCTTCTGGGCTGGGGCATCATTGACTCATCACAGATGTTGATCTCCAAAGTCAGAAATATTTTTCCGCCACACACAAACACACAAGGGAGCAGAATTGCATCAATTGCTGCAACACAAATCATATCAAATCACGTTCAGCTCATTTCCAGAATCAGTGCTACAAAACACGTTTGCGCCCCACAGCAAGGTCTGGACCAAAGCAAACAGGGATAAAAGGTGATATAAAACTCTATTTTCTTGCAACATACAAGTAGTGGAAACAATTGTGTATTCACATGCATTAACGTGAATTGGATCATTTCATCGGCAATGCCAAGCGTCAACATGCTGCAAAGCCTGCGCAATATCTGCTTTGGCCTCACAGGGTTGAAAAGTGTTGAAACATACAACCTAATTGGAACCATACTGCACTGAATGCATTTCACACAGAAAAGAATGAACATACAATATCATACAATAACATACAAATATGTAACAGGTCTGTATATAATGTACCAAGTAAATGCATGTGTATAGAGACCTCAAGTATTGACTTGACTTGCGCCTTTGCATGGGCGGAGATCTGTGCGACATCCAGTGAGATCGAGTCCATTTGATTTTGCAGCATCTTCATGTGATCCTCAGTGCAAACATCATAGGATATACAATGATATACAGTTGTGGATGAAGAGCTTCACCTTCTCGTCAAAAATCTTTTGAATCAGTTGTAAAAAAATGTATATGCTTGTTACTATATTTTATTGTATTTATTTATTATATTTCATTGCATTTCCGTGGTGTTCAATCTTTGTAGTTGTCAATTTCTTCAATCTTTAGTTCCATCGCGGATGGCGGATGCGGAAGTTCCCGGTCAGCTGAGGTCAGCTGAATTATGGCTGAGCTGCTTGGCGCGAGGAAGGGCGGCTATCCTCGACCTGCCAGGCGTGCACCTTCCTCGCAAGCTCCTGCGCACACGGAACCGCTGGCAATCCGTAGCAAAATCAGTAGCAATCCGAGTGCGGGTGTGTGCTTGTAAGACTTCAATGGATTTCAATAAGGGTCTGCCTTATCAGAAATGTTGCGACTCCCACAGCACTCGAAAAAAACAAACACCCATCATCTGGGCAAGCTTGAAACACATTTCAGCCAAAATTGGACGGCACAAACGTGCATGCATCCAAGGAGGCCGGGATTGACATGTAGTGGAAGATCATGAACACGTATGAACAGAACACCACAACGAAGCAGCAACCCAGCCGAGGAAGCGGGACTGAATTGAATCCAGCGCGCTGCAGAATCCCATGTCAAACAAAGAAGGACTAAACCGTATCGTGAAAGCCGAAATCATGGGGAATCATGGGGAAATCATGGGGAAATCATGGGGAAATCATGGCCGAAGAGGCTGCCAATTCATGGCAGTCCTTCAATTTGTCCGGCATGTGGCGCAACTGAGACGGATCTACGCCCTTGAGGCATTCACTCAACTTGCCGATGCTGATCCTTGCGTGTGACCACCAGCAGCGCTCGGGAACTGAAGTGCCATTGATGTGCCATGCGATTGATCATGACAAGCTGTAGACAGATTGTAGACAGATAGACAGTATTAGACAGTGCAGTGGCAACCACACACTGATAACATTGTGATAATATTGATGTCAATATCCATTGATATCTCCTCAAGTTGCAGCCTGGGTGTCTCTATTTTCTCGCATCTGTCCGTAAGCACCACTGCCTTCTGTCGTCCCCAATTGTCCTGATCAAGCAGCGTTTGCCGGTGACAATGCTACTAAGATTCTGTGCCGGAAAAACTACCAAGGGCATGTGCAACTAGTGTCAAGCACAATGAGTGCACAAATGTCATCGTTGGTTCCCTTCATCTCTCCTTGTCCATGATTGACTCTTGTCGTTCGTTGATCGTTCGAGAAATCCAATCCAGCAATTTGCTTTGCTCCTGAGGGGTTTAATCCTTTACATTTTTTTCAAGTTCCCATTCAACATCTGCAAACAGTGGAAGGAAAGTTCAAGGGCTGTAGACAAACACTGTGAATAAATAGTCATACAGCAATATGATACTGTATCATATGTACATTATGTATCGACATTTGTCTCATCTCATCTCAAAGCATCGTGAGGATCCAAGTTCAAGTCACTCAGGCAGAAATGGAACCTCTCTCTAATGGGCAATCTTGCGTGTGACTCAGGACATCTCAAGACGTCTCACCATCCTTTGCCTGTCTTTGCAGGTGTTCAGACCATTTCCGAATTCCACAGGTCACTGTGGTGGGCTCCTGAGTCATAGTAACCATGTCAGAAAAGCGGCTGCGCATGCGATGCAGCATTAGCTCTTCACGAGAAACCTCGGTGCAGCATTAGCAAAAAAACTGAGACCGCCAGTCTCTGGGAACAGTTCGAAACTCTTAGACATCTCTAGACCTTCTGAGCAGGAAAAACAATAGAAACTGATGAGACCCCTTCCTTTTGCACTACTTCTCTGATTATTTAAACATATTTAAAATCTACTAACAAACTGAACAACAACTGAACAACAATCGAACATAAATTAAACAACAATCGAACAACAATTGAACAGCATTGAAACAACTATAGTATCTATTCCTCCTCCAACCCCCACAAACGGCTTCCGATGCCTTTTTCTGCGTGACCTCTTGCTTGTGTTTCTGCCTTGTGAGTGCACGGCTTTGTCAAACTCAGCATCAAGCACATTGTGAAGCTGCTAGGTTCTGCAAAACTCTAGGAATATTAATGTGCTTGACATCGATGAATCAATGTGAGATGCCAATTTGTGTCATTTCATATCAAGCCTCACAGTTGCTGCAAGTGGGTCGTCTTCCTCCACACTCTTTGTCACAGCTTCCTGATGCAACATGAGAAAAAAGTAGTACTGTACAGGGATGTACAGGGATACACAAACACACACACAGGAATTCTTCACGCTGCACTCTACAACTTCAGATTGGGAAATTACGGGACAATGTGTTCATTGCACAAGTCTAAGTCCAACTGGATTCTGATACATTCTGGTCATCCCATGTGCAAAACATCCACATCCAGGAGTCCATAAAAACATCACAATACCATATTTAGTATTATATATGTAGTCAACTAACTAAGAGCTATTGAAGCTGTGGAAGCAATGTGATTCTATATTTCTGAAGATCATAAGAACAAATTCAAGAAGCTAAACTTACAGCTCTGCTGCAACTTGAACTCCCCTCTCTGAGCGGGCTGCAGTCGGCTGTGGGCTGAGTGACCTGTTGAATTTCTTGTTGCGCAGCTCCGTACATGCTGAGCCAGTCTTCAGAAGTTTCGTTCGCATGCTTCAGGTGGAATTTCTTCAGCATTGCATTGACCTTCCGTTTTGACAGAGACTGGTCGCATCAGTCGCTGTGGGGAGTGTCAATGATTTGTGCCCATTGAGCTCAAAAGAGACTCTGTCAAGAACCTTTGAAACAAAAGACTGCTCGGAAGCCTGCTCAGATAAGACCAAGAGCTTGTTGACATTTGTCCTGTCAAAAGCTGCAAGGTCAACGGCCGGCAGTGAGAAGTATGCAATCCCGCTGTACACTTCAAACATATTCTTAGAAAATAAATGACTGACTGGAGTTTGATCAATATATGTCAAAGGCTGATTGCAGCCCATGCAGAGACTTGTCGTTTTCTGCAGACTTCGCAAGGTTTCAGCATGTTTGAAACCGCTGGCTGATACCAGCGGCAATCGTGAGCTTGCCAAGGGAACTGCCTAAGCCTTTGACTTTTGGCTCCGCGCTCTGCTGGTGCTTACAGTGTAAAGTTGCTGAACTCAGGCGCTGGAAGCGCAAAGCACTGGAGGCGATGCTAATTGCGCGACGATGAGACTATCGATCCAGAATGTCAAAGGACGAGAAAAAGCCCGTTTATCTCTCTTTCAAGGTGTGGGGAAGAACAACCATACCATCATCATACCATCTCAGCTTACTTCATGGACTTCTGACTTCAAGTTCTGATCCTAGGAAAAGGTTGGCTTCAACCCGCCTTGTCTGCCCAATCATGCGCACACCATCACTGACGGAGAGCTCAAGCCTTTTTGCCTTCAAATCAGTGACAAAAACAAGGCTTCTCTTCTCTTTCTGTGTCAAGACCAGGGGAAATGTGGAGCAAGCAAGACATGGAATAATTGCTGATTGGACGCTGCGAAGAACACATACAGAATCCATCTGCTTACAAGGGTTGTCATAAGTTTCGCTAGATGTCTCTCTGTCTCAAACCTCGCCTCCTTCTTCGCAAAACGTGAAGCGCTCTCAATCAGGTATTCGGCGTTTTGCTTTGTCATCCTGCAGGGTGTTGGCTGGTCCGCAATCTCATGCTTGTGGCTTGGGGGTAGTGACGCTTCAAACATATCAAGCAATATGGCCGAACAAGTCTTTCCCAAACTGAAACATGGTATTATTCAACAAACATAATACAACACATATGTACTTGTGCTTACCTCTAACCAAAAATATCCAAAAATCAATCTCTCAAGATCTGCGAACGTAAAAGAACTCCCTCGTGTTTTCTCTGAGCACTGTCCTGTCTTTGGAAAACGCCTTTTTTAGACTCCGAATTGTGACTAATTCTGCAGGATGTGCCGGAAAGTCATCATCTTCAAGCTCACAAATCAAATACCACCTCGGCAACATTGGTTTCCAATGAGAAGAGTTTATGGTTCTGCTTGCAACCTCTTTGACGGAAAGCAGTCGTGACGAAACGGTCGAGGGAATGTGTCTCAACATAACCACCCCTTCAGGAACAGAACCCTCAGGTCCCTTGCCAGCAACAACTGAAGATTGGCATTGACAGGTGCACTGTCCGTAACGTCTTCCAACAACCCATAGATTTAGCGAAAATCGTGGCTCATTCATGTACTCCGACAGCTTGTGGCTGGTCACATGTCCAGGAAGTTTGCCGTCTCCTGTAAAAGCAGCGCCATTTTGCAATGCTGAGCCCAAGGCAAAGTAACCAACATATCGAAATGTCTCCGGAAAACAAACATGGCTCGCAGTCTCAAGTTCTCCGAGTTTGGGATATATGGATATACATGGTATATTATGTAGATTCTAGATGTATTACTAGTGTATCACTGATGTGTGTGTTGCTATGTATGTATATAATGTAACAAATACGTACATAACATTCACCTCGTGCAGTTGTCCAGTTCTCTGCTGCCTCGCAGTGGAAAAGTTGGGATGATTTGCCGTGATTTGCCCAATCTTAACTACAGTGTTCTTCAAATGCGATGAAGAAAAATCAACTTCCATCTCCTTGAAATTCTTTGCACAACCCACAGATTCTCGCTTCCTTTTCAACACTTTGCAGTGTCAGAAAACATGGCAAGGGGAATAGAGATATATTGAACTTATTGAACTATATTAAGTTTCAATAAATTTCATGTACTGTAACTGTAACATCCAATTTTCATCAATTGTCCATGAACTTCATGAGATGTTTGTTGATGTTACATTTGATTGTTTTATTATGTTTTATTTTACGTTCATCATTTTGTCATCCCTGCTGTCCTTCAGGTTCTCCACAGCTTCACCAACCTGTTCAAGCAACGTCTCTGGTTCGCCTGCAGCACTTCGTATCCGGCCATATGCTTCGAAAATCAGACCCACGAGGATGTTGATCATCAGGATGCCTGGGACAGGCCACAAACCACAAGCTTCTCGAAAGTACTATTCGGACACATTCATGTACTATTTTAATTCTCAGTTTTAATGCTGGGGTTCTGCGTCCGATGACCTGCTTATCCGTTTTTCTCACCCTTGTACATTCTGGTACTGTATATGTATATATTATTTAATATCATACAACTGTATAATAATATATTTAAGATTTTATAAGTATATATATAATTATATAATATAATATATATATATATGTATATATATATAATTATATATATATACATGTATATATATATATATGTTCTACCACCATGGCCATAAACAGCCTTCAAATATTGAGTATTCAAATTATAAGATATTACAATCCGCATCACCAAATTCATCCAGTACATGCCAAGATACTCATCAAACTCAGGTAGGAGAAGAACCAAAAATAAGCCAAAACCTGACCAACTTGAGTCACACTAAGTTCCATGCAAGGTCGTTTGAAAACCCATTGGAACGGCAGAACATGGCGGAACAAATCGGACCAACGTTTTCAAAGGCAAAGCAGGGGCGGGGAAGCACAACATAGATTCGACATAGCACAAAATGAAGGTCATGACTGTTTTGGTTCATAGTCATATATGAACCAATGATGGTCATATAGATAGACCATTTGGATTTATATATATGGGCCACGGTCAATATTTAATATACCTCCAAGTCATCAAAATTTGAAGAGTGTATTATCGTTTTTCAGATTTTGGGAAACCCTGCTCGTATTCATTGTAGTCTCATGGTTTTCCAGCAAGGGATGGGATACTTCCTGGCACTTTCAAATGCGGCACAATCAAGCGAAATTCTTGGACATTCATTTTCTTCACGGAACTGTCTCCACCACTGGCACAACCACCACTATCACAACCACCGCAACTGACGAAAGCTTCATTTTCACATCTTCCACTTTCATTTTTTGAGGGAAGTCTCGCACGAAAGCTTCGTTTTCACATTGTCAACTTTCACCTTTTGAGGGAAGTCTCGCACGAAAGCTTTGTTTTCACATCTTCATTTTTTCAGATTTTGAGGGTCTCGCACGAAAACATCGTTTTCACATCTTCCTATTTCAGTTCCAACAACTCATTCAGGAAACATCTGAGCCCTGCCATGTCTTGCGCTTGCTTGCTGCTCATCTTGGACGAGCAACGTGCGCCAAGAAAAACAATTTTTCAGCGAAAATGGTTTTTCCAAACGTTATCGTTTTTTCTTCCTCTTATCGTTTTTCCAAGCGCTGGCTTCACACCTTGATCAAAGAATGCACATGAGCGAGGAAAGGGAAAAGGAAAACGAATAGCAAAGGAAGGGAAAGGAAAGAATAGGAATGGAAAGGGAAAGGAAAAGGAAAGGGAAAGGAAAAAGATAGGAAAAGGAAAGGAAACCGAAAGGAAAAGGAATGGAAAAGGAAACGAAAAAGGAAAGGAAAAAAGGAAAGGAAAAAGGACAGGAAAAAGGAAAGGAGAAGGAAAAGGAAGAGCAAAGGAAGAGACAGGAAAAAGGGAAAAGGACAAAAAAGGCAGTGTCTCACACGGACCATTTTTGATGCCAAAAAGTCATCGTTTTCGTTATCGTTTTGTTATCGTTCGTGAATCCTGTGTGTGTGTGTTCCTTTTTTTCCTGGCAATCATCAAAAAAGGAGTGTAGCGACCACCTACAGGCACCTTCCTTGTGCAGAATCTGCGCCATTATGACAGCAAGCACTGAAAGGAAGAGACTAAAAGCATCTAAAAGCACTAACTAGCCGCAGAATGATGGAAAAATCAAGAACTTTGGATTTCAAGAGTCTGGGCACAGATCATTAACATAACCAACGTTATCGTTTTTTCCTCTTATCGTTTTTTCGAGTGAAAGCTAAAAATGGCTCATGGATGCTCATGGAAGATCATGGAAGACTAAACGAATAGGCGCGGGGTTTTTACAAACTCCCATGTGATTTTTTGTTTATCGTTTCGTTATCGTTCGGCTTATCGTTTGGGACACCTGGCTGGATCAAAAAAAACTGCAAAACAATGATTCTGGGAAACTGTTCTTTTGACAATTCTTAATGCTGTCTTGAACAAAGCCTGGGGCTGCCGCGGAAAACGAAAAGCAAACTCCAAAAGGCATAGAGGCACAGAGGAAAGAGCGGAATCTAGAGCACCCAGACTGCTCCTGCCGCAAGGCAAGACCTTGTTCTTTCCTTTCTCCAGCATGGCGCGTTGTCACTAGCAAGAGTTGAGGCAAAAGACTGAAATGTGGCCGTACGGTACTTGAAATGTACTCAGCATGCAGCGCAAACAGCAGCATAAACAGACCATCACCACACAGCAATGCACATCACCAGGTACCACCTGTTCAAAACAGGATTTGGCCGTTACCTACATAATTAAAGGCATCGAATAACCTGACCTGCACCGTAAGACAAAGGATGATTGATGACCAAGATCAAACATAAGCAAATGTTATTGTTTTTTGAAGTATCATGTATTATCGTTTTCCATGCCCAGCTCAATTTCCAAAAATACTACTCTCCATATCTCTCCATTACGGTAAATTTTCTCTGTAGCTCATCTATGGTCATGTCGTGTTGTCGTGTTGTGGCCTGGAGCCACGGCTCAAAGCCCTCGATGTCCGTCATGCTCACGGTCTCTGCCCAGCGAAAATACCTCGGAGGAAACGAAAACCGCAGGAGCCACAGCTGTTTGTTACATGTGGTTACGCAATGTCCATCAAAATAATCTGACATGTATTGAAAGATTCTGACATCATCTAAAATCCATCATCCTAAGGTTCTTCGAGGGAGATCAGGCCCGACATCTTATCAGTGTCCATGTTCTGTATCATTCAGTCTTCAATTTTTGTTTCCTAATCCATCATTATTCCGAATTATTCCATTTCAGCAAAAACATGACCCGAGCAAGCTCTTGGCTGCTGTGCAAACAAATGTCAAAGCAGAAGCGATTGTGTGGTAACCTTCCACTGTAGTGCCAAGCAGAAGAATCCCAGCACCAGCAAAGCAAATGAATACCTAGGCTGTGATAGGCTGTATTTCATCGCCAGTTCCCTGGCTCCAAGAGAGGTGTCAGTTGCCATGTTACCAGTCAGGCTCTTGATGCTTTGCCCAGTCTGCAAGAACTGAGACATCCACGTACGACGCGAAAATCGTCTCCGTTCTTTAAGTCTTTGAGCAACATCTTAAGACCCCTCAAACAAACTTTTGCATCAGCGGCGCTGTCCTAAACAATTCCGAATGTCTCCAGCAAAACATTCCATAAGAAAACCAACGCAAATTGTTTAACACTTGCAAATAAAACTAAATCGAATCTCTCAGCTGAAGTGGCTAAAGCGAAGGCAATTGCAAAGTGCGCGACGTCAACAGCTGAGCCTGTGATGGTTTGAATCACCACATCCAGCCGGTCATTGGATCCTCGCCATGCACATTCTGACCGCTCTCTAAGTGTGGGGTTGCCAAGATTGCTTGGCGAACATAACGTGCTGCACCAGTGAACATCAGTGTGAGTGTGAGAATTGTGCCAAGTTACAACAAAGTGAACACATTGACATGGACTTTGGCTGGGTGTGACGGGTTCAAGGGTTGCGACGATTAGAGCATCTACAAATATAACCACGGGGACGAGCATGGCTCTGAGCTTAATGAATTTTGGCAGAGGCAGCAATCAGTACAACAACTCACAACAACTCAAACTCATGCGACCATGTGCCACTACAAGTCTCAGCCAAACGAGTGAACAGTGGTAGTGATGAGCACTGGTAGTGATGAGCAGTGGTATGGACATCAGCTGCTGTAACCAACATTGTGAGACCAATTGCCACTATGATCCAATATGTACCAAGGGCCCTTGAGCAGCGAGATTGCCAAGAAAACAGGAAGTTTGCATGAGTTTGCACTGATGAACAAAACAAATGTGAGGGACCATCAACATCCATCAACCAAGGTATATTTTGATTTGTCATAATCTTACACTCGGAGCGTTGCACTATGTTGCACTGTAACGCAAACTTTCCAAGATTCCAAAGGCTTTGAAGAACTTGATCATCAGCATGAAGAGATAAGCAAAAATGAAGCGTCTTGCCAGGACGTGAGATTCTGCCACCTCCTCTGCACAGCGGAAAATCTCACTCATCTGAGTCTCGAAGCCCTTAGTCTCGCCCCAGCTGGAAAATCGGGCAATGTGAAACCAGGCGACATCTTCCATTTCTCAAAACCTCAAAACACAAGCGAACGCTGTTTCCAGGCTCAATCAAGGCTCAAGACGATCAACCACACCATCAAACTCCTGCACAGCTAGACTTCAATCGATCACAATGCCTTTCCAATGGAGCCACAACTTGTTTATCTGCAAGTGCACGGACGGCCTAAAATCAAACCTACATAAAGATTTGGTGAGCTGAAAGATGCTGAAAACATGGTAGAAGTATCGAAGTTTCAAATAGACTCACATTATCTTGCTAATCTTACATTATCTTTCACCGAAAATCGATCAGAAGTCTCTTTTAATTAGGTGAAAAAGTTCAACCGCCACCGGGAAGGCTTGCGCTCAGCTGGCCCAGCCATGGCCCAGCCTCTGCAGTGAGGTATGACCTGTTGGTAAAAACGGCTAGATCCAAAGCAACCGATGGAAGGTCAGCGAGCACTTCAGGCAATTCCCCACTGACCTTCAGTACGAAAACCATCCAGAAAGACCTGCAGCTGGCAGATGGCATTTCAGAATTCGTCTAGCGTAACGTATCGTACAATAACGATTTTACAATGTATACCTGATGTAAAGAGAATGTACACGATGTGCAGGTGCATCATGCATCATCATGCACACATCATGCATCATACATCATGCACCCCCTCTTTCGGAGGATTTCGGAGGTTGCTTCAACCTGATACTTTAGCGATGTAGCGATCAAGGATGATCAAGGCGAGGGACACAGTGGTAAATCCAAAGGCAATAGTGATCCAGTCGATGACGTTCCACAGTTTCAAGTAGTCCTGACTTGGCCCTTCTCAAAGCTGCAATCAAGCTATATGGGTATGGATCAATACCTATTAATACCATTTTTAGGGGGATGAACATCCATTTACCAGCTATTTTGATGTCCACCAGGGGTACAAGGTTTTGACACACTGCCATATCAAGCTGTTTGGTCATGTTGCTTTGACTGACGGAATGAAGGATACAGATGAACTTGAGTAAGATTTGGTTGATGTGTTCACTAACGACTAAATTGCACAAAATGAATTAATTGTATGATATTAATGATATTAATGATATTTAATGATACTATGTATCAAAGGTACAGTATCAGTTTAATTTCTGTTTTCTTTGCAGGTGATACTTGCGCGAGTTTCTGCTGTTTACGCTTGGGCTCAACCTTTTTGGCCACGGGTCCTTGATGCCATCAAGACCGTTCATGGCAGCTGGAATGGCCTCCTTCATTTCAGCATACAACACATTCCACAACCTCGGTGCGACTCAAACTGACGATTCCCGTTTCATTTTCTGAGGCCTTTTTACCACTGAAGATTGTACTGTAGATCGAGGAATTCGCCAGTGATCAGCCAATGTGAATCCCCAACAGCTAGGGAAATTTGAGAAGCTTCAGTGAGGCACCAAAGCTTGGCAGGTGGTCATTGTTAGAGAAGGAAATGACTTAAGATGGTCGCAACATCGTTGTTTCAACTATGACATACAGCGTCTGCACCGTCCAACGCGGACAATTCTCAGCACCCCTTCTTAGCCCTCTTTGAACTTGGAACCATTTGGATTTCTGGAACCTTCTGGAACCTGGGAGGAAGCCTGGCTTAGAACCCTTCTAGGTCGAAGATTGGGGCATGGTGAGGGAAACACCAACCCAGCTTTGCAACTCCAAAGTGTTTCAGGATTCCAGGGTCCACGATTCCGTTCGGGTCTTGGGCTCGGCAAGCAAACGAAGTAGTGCCGGCACTACTTAGTCACTACTCTCAGACCCAGAGGTTAAAACCCAACAGGTACAATGCTACTGTTGGGAACAAAGTAGCTACTTGCCAACGTGGGCTAGATTGGGAAAGATGGGTAGGGCGAGAACTGCAAGTACACAAATGTGGTGAGATTCAATTGAAATTGATGTAACATTGAACTGAAGTCGAGTAGAAGGGTTATATGAGTAAGTAACACCTAATCATACAATAATGTGGGAGATGGGATTGGAAGAGGATGCACTGGACACGTTGTTCTACAATTGGAGTCAATTCTGAAACTTAACCCATCTTAATCGGAGCAAATCAATCAATGAGACAACTTGCCTGGATAGGTAAGCACGTGGCAAATCATGTTTGGGGCTAAGCAAAGACGTTGACTGGGCAGGGTAGACGGATTGACGCGAGAGTGACCCCACAAGCAAAGAAAGACTGAGTTGATATCCACAGCGCCAAACAGCCGGATCAGTGTTCTATGCAGAGCAGCCAAGGATGCCAAGCGGGTGCAAAGTCGATGGGCCATGCCATGCTATGCCATGCTATGCCATGCTACAAATGAGAGCAGCTTACAGCAGCTAAGATCAGCAAAGGCAGCTTGCCACGAACACATGCAGCTGACCAATTCCCCCAGACCCCCTGGAAACCTGGAGCCCTCCAAGACATTCCTGGAACCATTGAACGCCTGCTTTGAATACAATGATATGCACACATACAACTGATGACACCGGTATCAGCCATACATGCAAAATGAAGTTGAATGTGTTGTATAGATTCTAGATGTTTCTTGAGCATTTTCCATGTGCAGCTTGGGTGCAAAACTACGAAGAGCAAGTCTGGCAAAGCAAACCATAGGTTGTAATATGGTGAGTCAACGAAGCTCTCTTTCATACCTTCTCTGTGGATCATGTAGCCAGCATCTCGGAACTCAACCCGCAAAGTCCCCAATGTAAACATGGCCTCAGGATGAGGGCGAAGCAAGCTTGAACAACGTATGATATGATAACAATATAACAATCTATTATAACATAATAAAACAATCATTCATAATTCATAATATTTCATAATCAATGCAATTGCGTCGCGCTTTTGAACTCCATCCGTCAAAAATCTCTGCGTGGCTGTGGCTGTCTCAAAAGGGAGGTTCTGTGCAAGGCACTTGATGTGCGTTGTACGACAGGGTCTGAATATCGAGGAAAGCAGTATGATCATCCAGCCAGAAATTCCGAGCCCTTTCTTCCATCTGTTGCTCAATCACCTCCCTCTTCTCATGATAGAACACATACCTTCGCTGGTCGTGGCAAAGAACATCTGATGCCATATGTTCCATTGTCAAAACATGGTACACCATTGGGAGTCCTTACATTGGCCATTGCGAATCCCTATTAATCGGCGGTTGACCACGCCCAAATATAGGCAGTTTACCCATGCGTTGACCATGGCAAACATGAAGTGAAATCGACTCTATAAAGAACTGACACTGAGATTCGGCCTTGATGACTCTATCCAAGCGGCCAGTCATCAGGTTTGAATTCACCGTGCATATTACATGCAGGATAGAGATCCTGCGAGCTGGGACTGTGGGGGCACAGACTCGTCAAATGTTTCATTTACAGTATAAGTCTATGCCTATGTCGAAAGAACATGAAACACACATAATTACATATGCATGGTCGATCTGTTTGTTCAAATATGTCTGCGGTTGGACTACTTGTTGTAGTAGTTGTATTCTCTCTCATACTACAGGTCTGTGTCTTGCTCAGAGTATATCAGGCACCTAGAAACAAACAGGAGGCAGGTTTCACTCAACGGCTTGCACTCCGACTCCGTCCTTCCACATTTTGGAAGCCATGCATTCAGCGCCAACTGCATACCAACGCCGGAAACGAACAGCGCCCACAATCTCAGGAGTTTGAACAGAGACTGGCAGCAATTATTTCAACTGGTCGCAAGAAACAAATTGGACAATAAACGACTATAAATACCAGTAGTGCCGCATAAATGCCGCACAAGGCAGTGGCGGAAGTTTCAGAATAGGAAACATATAGGAGAGTTTGGTTGTTGTGAATCAGGGATGGCGGAGCGAATCCACTGATGGACTGAAAGGTGGTTGGAACTGTGTTTTTGGGAGTGGTTGCAATGGTTGCAATGGTCACCTGGTCGGTCACCTCACCCACAACTGCTGGATGTAGTGTGGTGTAGTGCAGCGGTAGTTTTAGTTGTAGTGTAGTGGAGTTGTAGCTGTGGTGTAGTGTACTTAGCGTAGTGTAGTTGCAGTTGCTTTTGTGGTGGTGTAATGAGTGTAGTGTAATGTAGTGTAGTGTCGTCTAATGTAAAGCAGTGTAGTTGTAGTGGTAGCTGTCATTGTAGTTTGTGTGGTGTGTTGTGGTGTTTTGTGGGGTGGTGTTGTGTTTTGTGGTGTGGTGTGGTGTATGGTGTGCTGTGGTGTGGTGTAGTGCAGTGCAGTGCAGCGCAGTGTAGTGTAATGTAATGTAGTGTAATGTAGTTGTACTTGTAGTTGTACTTGTACTTGTAATTGTAGCTGTAATTAGTTTAGTGTAGTGTAGTGTAGTGTGGTGTAATGTAGGGTAGTGTAGTGTAATTGAGTGCAGCGTAGTGTAGCGGAGTGTAGTGTAGTGGAATGTAGTGGAGTGTAGGGTAATGTAGTTTAGTGCGTTTGAGTGTAGTGTAGAAAAGTGGAGTGTAGCGTAGTGTAGTGTAAATAGTGTAGCGTAGTGTAGGGCAATGTAGTTGTAGTTGTAGTTGTAGTTAGTGTAGTGTAGTCTAGTCTAGCCAAGTGTAGCGCAGCGTAGTGTAATTGAGTGTAGTGTGTGTACTGAAGTGTGATGTCGTGTAGTGTAGTGTAGTATCCTTAGTGTAGTGCAGTGTAGTATAACGTAGTGTAGTTGTAGTTGCAGCTAAGGCAGCGTAGTGTAGTGTAATTAATTGAGTGTCGTGTAGTGGAATGTAGTGTATAGTGTAGTGTAGTGAAGAGAAGTGTAGTATAGTGCTGTGTAGTTGTAGTTGTAGCTGTGGTTGTAGTTAGTGTAGCGTAGTCTAGTCTAGCCTCGTGTAGTGCAGCGCAATGTAATTGAGTGTAGTGTAGTGTAGCGAAGTGTGATGTAGTGTAGTGCAGTGTGGTGTCATTAGTGTAGTGCAGTGTAGTATAACGAAGTGTAGCTGTAGTTGTAGCTGCAGTTAAGGCAGTGTAGTGTAGTGTAATTAATTGACTGTAGTGTAGTGGAATGTAGTGTATAGTGTAGTGTAGTGAAGAGGAGTGTAGTATAGTGTTGTGTAGTTGTAGTTGTAGCTGTAGTTGTAGTTAGTGTAGCGTAGTCTAGTCTAGCCTCGTGTAGTGCAGCGCAATGCAATTGAGTGTAGTGTAGTGTAGCGAAGTGTGATGTAGTGTAGTGCAGTGTGGTGTCATTAGTGTAGTGCAGTGTAGTATGACGAAGTGTAGCTGTAGTTGTAGCTGCAGTTAAGGCAGTGTAGTGTAGTGATGTGTAGTGTAATTAATTGACTGTTGTGTAGTGGAATGTAGCGTATAGTGTAGTGTAGCGAAGAGGAGTGTAGTATAGTGTTGTGTAGTTGTAGTTGTAGCTGTAGTTGTAGTTAGTGTAGCGTAGTCTAGTCTAGCCTCGTGTAGTGCAGCGCAATGTAATTGAGTGTAGTGTAGTGTAGCGAAGTGTGATGTAGTGTAGTGCAGTGTGGTGTCATTAGTGTAGTGCAGTGTAGTATAACGTAGTGTAGGTGTAGTTGTAGTTGCAGTTAAGGCAGTGTAGTGCAGTGCAATTAATTGAGCGTAGCGTAGTGGAATGTAATGTAAACTGTAGTGTAGTGAAGTGAAGTGTAGCATAGCGTAATGTAGTTGTAGTTCTAGTTCAAGTTCTAGTTGTAGTTCTAGTTGTAGTGTACTTGAGTGTAGTCCGGTGTAGTGAAGTGAAGCGTACTGTAGTGTAGTGTCATTAGCGTAATGTAGTGCAGCGTAATGTAGTGTAGTTGTAGTTGTAGTTGGGGTGTAGTGTAGTGTAATTGAGTGTGGTGTAGTGAAGTGGAGCGTAGTGTTGTGAAGTGTAGTTTAGTGTAATTAGTAGTTTAGTGGAGCGTTAGTGTAGCGTAGCGTAGTGTAGTGGTCCTAGTTGAAATTCCCACAAATCCCTCACCTTTTGCTCACTTTTGACAAGGTGCACAATCCCTCGCGCCGGCCACGCGGAACGACATCTGAACGTCCAAAAGTGGTCCGGGCCCTTCAGCTTTTCCATTTTTGACTTGGAAAGGTGCTTGGCGCCAAAACCGCGTACACTTTTTGAACATCTCAACTTCCAAAAGTGCTCCAAGGCTGACGTGTTTTGTACATTTTGACTTGGAAATGTGCTTCGCGCCACAACGGCGTGCACTTTTTCGACATCTCAACTTCCAAAAGTGCTCCGAACCCGTCAGTTTTTCACACTTTTGACTTCCACATGTGCTTCACGCTACAACGGCGTGCAATTTTTCATCTCTCATCTGGCCAGATGGCTCCGCACCCGCCGCTTTAGCGAGCCTACTTTTCGACCCTCCGGAGCCACAAATCATTGGAAAAACATAATGTCTCGCGACTTTTCTACCTTTTCGCGCACCTGCATCTTCTTTCTTCTCATTCTTTCTCTTCTCTGATCTTCTCTCTTCTGCTCTTCTCTTCTCTGACTCTTCCCACCTCTGCTTTTTTCCATCTGTCCATATTGTCCGAAGTTTGACTTCTA